CTGTCTACAGTTTCTCTGAGCCCTTCAGCATGCATGCAGCTACTTTCTTGTCCTTCATGGATCATGGGATTTACAGCTTGCCTCTAAAAGGGGATACGTAGGGTACTGGGTTACTTTCTTGGCACCCTAGTACTTAACCTTCAAGTTTCGCTTTAGCCCTCATGGTGGGTAGGAGGGGCACAAGGATGTCCCGTATTCAAAGGTCACCAGTATGCCTCAAAATTTAACGTGCAGGAAGACCACTGAAACTGCAATCAATACCCACCTCCCATGCATGTGCTTTTTAGGTGTCTACGTGAGAGACAGCATTACGAAGAGCTTTTTAAGGCATCGGCCAATGTCTTGCGATAGCACTTGCACATGCAGGTGCTGCTGTTGTGGCGCTGGATAGAAATGGAGCGCAACTGGAGCAATTATGTGAAGAGGTAACTCATTTCAACGTCGATTGCTATCACTCTGGTCAGCATTCAGTTGCACTCAGCATTCAGGACCTACTTTCAAGGGTATAGCACTAGCTTGGAAATCTATCGATGTTTGCTCATCATTCAATTTCCTGAACGCACATATGGTTACTTTGCGAACGAGTTTCTCCGCCCACTTTACCCTTGGTCAGAGTCTACAACCACACCACCCTCTTTATTTAGAGCGTTCACGTCCTGTTGGTGTCTACTCGTCTCATCTGCTGCTCATCTCCATGTTGCGCGACCTTACCACCCAATGTACTGAAAACTGACGTAGCAAAATGGAGATATCGTTATATCGCATTCAAAGGTTATCCTCCCATACGAATCGTTCACCAATTTACCGTCCCGGGAGGGTGGAAGGCTTGGTTTGCCTGGGCGGGAGTCAACCGGGGATTTGAGCCAGCGGACTGTGGGTGCGGTGGTGAGCGCGCCACTTTTCCCTGCACCACCTCCGCCAACGGACATTAACCTCTATAATTACAGCACAGTCACATTGCTGGTGTTGTCGCTGATATCACATTATCCGAACCACAACTGTCATCCATCCTGCAACCTTATCAACCATTCGATTTCCTAGTGAATAACGCGGGAATATCGGTCTTTGAGACATGCTTGAGCCTCAAAGAGGATTCCTTGATTAGGTATGATTTTACTGGGTATTATTCTTATAAATATTAAATCCGTTCTACTTAGGCACATTGACATCAATCTGAAGGCTCCAATTCTGCTCTCTAAAATTGTGGCGAACGAAATGATCCGACGTTCTATTCGTGGAGCTATTGTGAACGTTTCGTCCCAGTCTTCAAAACGACCTTCCAAACATTTGGCATACTGTAAGTTGGCAAACATATTCACTATAAGGCAGATGGCACGAAAATTCGGTACTCGGTCGTAAATGCTAGCGTGCTATGTAGTGGGAAAATGGTGAAAAAACGAAGTGAAACGGTAAAAAACCTGCGAAAAAGCCTCCGCCTCTTATAACTAAAGGCATTGGTCGGAGCTTGGACGGAGTTGTGCCCGTAGCGTTAGCTTGCGCGATGACCGCTTACGGTATGTTGCGACGTACATTAGGTGGTACTGTGATCCATTGCCAGCATGCGGGCCGCCTTCATATCAGTCTCATCGCCTATCGGATTGTACTCAAATGAAGCAAGACGGGGCATCACTGTACGCGTGGTCGATTTGGTCGAGCGCGGACGGGCGGTGGACGTCTCGCTTGGTATGTTGCAGCCCCTGCCTGACAGGGTCTGTATAGGGCAGGCACAGCATTCAATGTGGGATTTTGGGTCAAGCCACGTGTACGACCCCCCCCCCTTTTTGGGGGTTTCGGTACGACCCCCCCCTATACATAAACTTATGAAGTTTCTTCCCCCTCCCCCCCTCCCCCGAGGAGGAAGAAACTTCATAAGTTTATGTATAAGTAAGCGCGAAAAATGGAAAAAGTAACAATCCTGAATGAGGCCCCCTCGCTTTTTGCTCATTTCTATCCTAATTCAGAAAAGAGAATAGAAAAGAAAGGCCATTAGGTTTCACCCACCTTCCTCGAGTCAAAACAAACTCTGGTACCTAAATCAATTGCAATTAAAAAAAAAAAACAGGAAATTAAGCCAATTCCTCCTAAGAGCACTCTGAGCGGTCCAAGCAAAATTGCTGGGGCGCGCTCTGACGTGTATTCGAGTAAACTAGAAGAAGATAAATATTCGATATTCGAGTAAACCGAGAAGAAGATAAATACGAAAGAGTAATACGAACGAGAGCAAACCAGACACAATCAGCTGATTAAAGGCCGAGGTACCGGGGAGGGATTCTGGGCAGGACCAGCCATGTGGAACGCGAGTTTTCAGCAAAGTGGGGTGTCTTTGAAGGACCATAACTTCCTCAAAAGCGGACCTGTGGGGAAGGGGAGACGCATCGTCCGTAGAGGAAGCGTTTGCACTCTCCTAAGTACGTCTATAACGGATTATGAGGTTGCAAAGAATCACAAAAGGAATCTGCCTTGGGGGCGACGGTTGGTTTGGAACTGTCTCAATGCCTTCGGGAAATTGCCAAATGGTCATTCTGCGAACGGAGTTGTGAAGCGTTTCCGTCCACGTGTACCGAGCAACAGGTCATGGAACCGGATCTCTCCTTGAGCTACTTTTTTTGCTTCTAGCAGGAACATAGCAAAAAATGGGTTATAGCAAAAAGTAGATCCACCACCGGGTTTAGACCAAGCGAGTTGGGGGCCAAACGGTCCTTGCCCCGAAATCCCGTAAGCAGCTCCTTCACAAAGGACAGTCGTAGATTTGACAGGATGTGCTATTCACCCGAGTCTCGCTGTAAGCACAATCCCGTCCAGGACCAAAGTGCTGGCGACCCCTTGGCTTCAGGACATCGCCCGAAAGAAGCGTTATTGGTATGTTTGACAGGCATCGATCTAGACGGTGCGCTTTCGATGAAAAGACAAGGAGGGCGTTCTTTCCGGGTGACACAGATCCCAACCTCACACCATATAGAATGAGAATCTGTTAAGAGTGACACGTAGCGGACTGAGCCGAGCCATCGTCTATCTGCCCCACTGCCTTTTATGAGGAGCTGGCGAAAAACCGATTCTGGTAGTTAATGCGCAACGAAAAATTTTTTGTTGGTGGATGACACATTATTCAACGGACCAGCACTGACCAAAGTGCATCTCAACAACTGCGACTTCGGATTTTCTCGATACATTATGAGGAGAAATCGAAAGTGATTGGATGATGACTCATACAGTCGTCATCCGGTGACTTGATTAGGGACGCGACGCGGATGCGGTGTGTTGCAAGCGCGGCGACCAACTGTTTCCAGCCTATTTAGCCATTTTCTCCCTAGTTTACGCTGTTTTGGCTGCTTTTCTCACGATATTTTTTATTTTTCTTATGGTTAGTTGTTTTATTGTCTTTATGAAGTATATTAGGACGTGGAGTGTTTTTTCCCTTGTTTTTGCAATAGTGTTTTTGCGATTTTTTCAGGTGTTTGTTCAATTGTCTGCCTAACTGTTTAATTGTAAGCAAAAACAGGAGAATCTCATAAATAATTCAGTTTGTTTTTGAAGACAGCGAAACAACTTAATCGAGAGAAAATCAGCCAAAACTAGGGGAAGTTGGCTAAAATAGGCTGGGAACACATGATCGCCGTGCTCGCAGCACATCGCAGCCGCGTCGCGTCCCTTGCCGCCCTAATCAAGTCACCGGAGACGACTGTACAGTAGATCGATATAGCTCGCGGAGTACAAGCAACTATCGGCGAGAAAAAAAACTGTGATGGCCACTCAAAAAGGCGCGAACACATAATTTCCAGAACGTTTTGGTCACCCTTGTGAAGGACTGCATTCGAAAATTCCGCGTTCCCTCATTACTGTGTGCAGCCAAGCTGAGTGCTTGGGAATTCGGAGGTTGCAGCATGGTGCTAGGGTTGAAACATTCCTACTTCTCCGCACTTTATTGTCGTCTCTGCAGACGAGATTATGATGACAAAGCTGAGTGTGTATGTGAGCACTTGACGCCAAGAAAACGCAAGCAGTTAAATAATCGTATACTGTGCGTTTGTACTTGAGACTGTATGGCACATCAAATGATATGTTTGAGCTCCTTCACTGGAGGGTAGAGATTTTTCATGGTATAGGGTATTTCGTATTTATTTATTCTTGTTTATTTTATTTATTAAATTATATTTTTAAGGCCTGCTGCGTCACAAAGCGGGCCTAGATATGGCAACCAGGTGCTTTGCAAAGGAGCTAGGGAAGCACGGAATTCGAGTAAATACCGTCAATCCGACCGCGGTCATGACTGAAATGGGTAAAGTGGTAAGGCGCTGCAACCTTGTCATTTTAACCGGAATAAGTTGTTATTGTATTGCATCAGATGTTTCCACTGCGACCATCGAATCATTGAGTGATTGGCGTCTGCTCTGGTGTGCAACCTAACTTCACGAGAAGTTAGGTCGAGAAGTTACTACACATGAGCCAGGAAGAACCACAAAAAGTCAGCAACCTCTCCTACAAAGCCAGAAGGCAAATACGGCCTCCCCCCTCTCCCACCAACGAGCGTATACGACCCCCACCCCTTCTTAGCGCGCGTGGAACAAGAAAATCAACTTTATCAAGACCCTTCCCTGCTGGGGGAATAACCACCAAGCGATATGCCCTATCCGCCAACTCTGTACTACCTTATGTCTCTCACGTCCGCTAGCTATGAGAGTGCGCGAGGCCAACTCGGATGTAACGCTACACACCCTTTCTAGTCCGAGGCGGCCTGACCTACAATTAATCCGATTATTTCAATAGATCCGCGCTGGTTGAGAAGCATAACACATTCCTTTTTCGAGTTACAATTACTTTCATAATTGAGCTCTCTGGCATTGTGATTTTGGACCGGTTCGAGTGGTGTCAAAGCCCTGAACAAAGAAAGCCTCGCTGCTCTGACACCAACCCTATAAGTAGGCAAAAGCGTCCATATTCAATGAGGTTAAGGAGTTCAAGACTCCCGATACCTTAACCGCATGCTCATCCTATCTGCGCAGTGTGGGGGTCCTTGAGGCGTACTTCAAAGCAGGGAAAATTGCACAGGTAGGGCCGGTGCCTGAAGTGCTTCCTGTTTATTTTTAAGTATCTGTATTTATTGGCCTGGGACTAACCTGGACGCATTTTGGAATCTTCGTGAACATCTATTAGTTTTTGCTGTTCTAAAACGTCCACTCCCATTGAGGCGCCACAATGGACATGCATCCCCCAATACAAACTGATGGAACGGCAGTTGTAACTGATGACAAGAATTATGTGTTGAGATGAGCTTCTGTGGAAAGCAGTGATTTCCAGCTTCAACTCATTGCTTTAGGCCTGGAACGATCCGACACAATCAGCGGCGTTGCTTGCTCAAATTCCGATTGGAAGGTTCGCAGGTGATTTCCTGGTCTCATGTGGGGCTTCCTAAATTTACATCATCCTACAATTTATTGGGTGAGCAAAAAACCCTCCGACATTTAGAACATCATCTTATAGTTGCTCCGAAACAAGTTCATAAAGTCCTGAAAACTGCTTAAATGTAGGGTCAAACGGGCATGTACACAGTGCGGTACAAATATTCGGCTATAAAACTCACTTTTAGCATTTACCCTCTACCCCCTACACTCGGTCGTATGAGGTGCACTAGGGACCACCTTCGCTTCGGATTTTTTTCAAGTTTTTTTTTTGCGTCCTTTTTTCTCGTTTTCCGTTAAAGACACTCGTGCACTCATCATGAAATCCGTAACTTGCCTAAGCTGTAGTGAATGAGGCAAGAACGGGACTGGAGGGAAGTGGGGGTAACAGGACACTGCCTTAGCGAATAGCTGACAAGGCATGTGGCCGGCTTCCCGCAGTCGACCACATACCTTGACAGGCCGGCTGAGCGGGTACCGGCTGAGCAGGCACTGCATTTGGAGTGACATACACAACAACACAGCACCAACTCACGCAACATGAGCGAAAATTTGTCGCGTAGACTCTTGTCTCAAGTCAGCATGTACTGCAACTGAGCAATAGCACTTTGCACCACCACTTACCATGGATTGAAGCGCTACTCGTCTGCACGCTCTTATTTCTGGTTGTCCACTTCTGGCTGTTTGTCTTTAAGCGCACAAGCGCGGAGCGATTGCGTATGAGTGATACTGCTCATGAAGTTTACAAACTTGTAACGCTCACCTTTCCGAGAAACAACGCGCTACCATTCGTGTCGAGTCGAACGGCGTCCCGCCTGCAGTAGGCGTGCCTTGCTGCACAGTAAAGGGCTGTTAAGTAGTGGTACGCATAGTGCAGTTACATTCGCTCCGCCTCGCGCATACTCAATAGTGCACTTACGGCGATACCGAAGAGCCGAGCGAACACGCGCTCTATACCACAAAACGAACACAAGTAAGAGGAAGCAGACGAGCAGCATTTTTGGCTATGTTCGGGCGAGTTGCCGGCAGTTTGGCAGCACGGGAGGAGCATGGATACGGCAGGCGGATGTCACTACCCTCCAGCCCATTTCCGCTCACTGTTTGATGCCGAAAAGTGCGCGTACTACTGCAGTTGCCGACCCATTCACCCCACAATCGGCAGGTAGCGTAATCCACGGAGGTAAAAGCTTGTCTTTGGAGAAATTCAAGTGGACCGAAGTCGCAAGGTTGTTCTACAAACCAGGTTGGGAAGCAGAGTGATGTTCTGGTAATTAGGGACAGGCAGTCGTGCAGGTAGAGCAGGGCACATCATTGGTTGAGGATTTTAGTCGAGTCTGTACGACTCTCCCACCTCCCCCCCCCCTTAGGCCCTCTGTCTCTCCAGATCGAATCCAGCCTGCAGAGGGATGGGAAGGAGACCCCTCCCCTTCTACCAGTTTTCGCATTTTCCCCAACTTCTTGCCACTTTTTCCGCAATTTCCCGAAAACTTCCCTACTTTTCCCCAAAAATTTTGGCTCGCCGAGGCGGGCGGGGGGGGTGTATGGCACACATGCAACACATGCAACAGGAAAATTACAAAAAGTCAACTACCGCTCCTACAACGCCGAAACGTAAATACGATCCCTCCTCCCTTTCTTCAAGGTCCGTGAAGCAAGAAAAATCAACTATCAAAATAAATTTTTCCCAGCCCAATACGACCCCTTCTCCTGACGGCCAAATATGACACCACTTTTCCTCAACAACGATGTGCCCTCGTGTAGAGAAGGCTCCTCACATCACCTAATCCCCTAGATCAACATTAATTTAAGGTTTGTTGGGTCGAGAGTCGTGTATTTATCACCAGATTCACCACCCATGGTACTCGAACATTCAATATTTGAATGACTATCCAGAGCCCATGTTACAACTTGTGTTCAACAAGGAAACATTTCAGAGGTCGAGGACGTTGTCAGAGCCGTGATGTTTCTTTTGAGCGATGCATCTGCGATGACTACTGGAGCATCACTTCCAGTTGATGGAGGATTTACAAGAATGTAGAAATGTTATGAATGCTGAATAGCCTATTTCCTACTATTCGAAGTACACAGGAATATATTTTATCAGTTGTCATTAGTTGTACCACTTTACAGTATTCTTTCTACTACATTATGAGCAATTGTTGATAAACAAGAGATGAGTACATATCTTGATTTCGATAAAACTTCTTCTGATGTGTGCTATACGCACAACTTTCACATGTGCACACAATCGTTGAGAGAATTTCATAAGGCTGGGGTCGTATGGCTGAGGTGACTTAAAGGCAGCGCCCGCATTCATTTGTTGTTTCCACGCTCTCTTTGGATATCGTAGCTCTCCTTATGAGGACATCGAACGTACTAGTTTCCAACTCAGAAACGCGAGAGAGTAGCGGCGCCCGCACGTGAAGAGTCGGCCACCCCGCCCACCTGGCGACCACTACGCTAAACTTAATTTTAAATGGTTGCCGGTGGTGCGGTTGTTCCGCAACCGACTCTCTCCGCTTCGAATAGTGAGAGTGGGATGATAAGGGAACGCAGCTGATACCAACAAGTGAGAACTCGTACGGCGCGCCTGTCACATTCGCCTTGAGCACGTAACATGCTGGCTCGGCGTAACGTCCATATACAGGAGCATTTCCGATGATTTTTCCCTCAATTTCTTAGCAATGAACTTCGCTACAGTGTTTGTCAACTGTCTTGAAGCCCAAAACTCATCAATTTAGAAACGGGCGCTGCTTCAAGCCGCCAGAGTTAAAAGGCAGCGTTCGCGTTCAATTGTACAATATTTGAAGCTGAGGCAGTTACGGGTAGGTAGGAAGGAGTTCATTAGTGAAGAAGAGTGCAAAAAATCCCCTTGGGTATGCCTTTATAGGACCCCAAAGGTGCTGAGCTTGTACGTGCTAAAGGCGAAGAGATCACGTGGTCGTACGTGTTTTCGGATCGCTGGCTTCATGCCAGCACGCGTCCGCGGCGCGCAGCGGTCGCAAATCATGTTTGCTTTCGTTTTATTTTTTATTTCCTGTCACTTTTGAGGTTTGTTTTCCCATTTGCGGTCCATTTTTTCCCTCATCTTGGCATTTTCCTTCCATTGTTCTTCACTACGCACCTCACCTTGGAAACTCCATCTTTTTTGCATCGTTCTACACGTCATTCCGGCATTACTTCAAATTCCGCATTATTGCTTCCCAGATTAACCCATCCTCAGTGTAAAAGTGACAATCAACCAATTCGCTGAACCTCAAAAGGCAACTACTGCAATGGCTTCCTACCAATTCGTAGAAATTCAACCCTAGGCTCTTTGTCAGAATAAAATTACGAGATAATTCACCTCACCAGCATTCTTCACTTTCTCATTTAAAGTTCATCTGTTTTCTGCTTTGAAAATGGAACCATATGTGCGCTGTTTCAAGCACTTTCCCGACGAATCTATTTCGCTTTGTTTTTATTTGGTTGCTAGTTTCGCGCACAACACTAGCTCGCCGAGGAAAGAGCACATGAGTCATTACGCGCCGCAAGCCGCGTGGTTGGTTCTATGTCACGTTGAGCAGTATTTATATCAAAGTCTAACATACAATATGTTCTCACCTGTAACTGGAAGACAGATGGAGATCTAAGTACTTGCATCCATTTAGATTTACGTTCTCACAGTGTTTCGTCGATGTTTGTTGCTTTCATAGCGCTGTGACCCCCTTCCAATCACCAGAATAACAAGCGGTGGTCTGCAAATGCGATGTTAACATTTCGCTCCATGGCTTAGTAATATTCTGCTGTTTCCGAATATGTCGCGGGTGATTTGTTGATATGATGGCGCTAACGTAGTTGGGAGGGGCCACGCGGCTCGCCTCGAGCGATGACTCATCCGCTCTTCTGCTCCCTTCCTCGGCAATACAGAAGTAATTTCGTGTTTAGGACAAATGTAACTCTGCCCTGGCTATATTCAAAAGTTAAAACACTTAACACTAAAAAGTGCAATGGCCACAGTTTAAGCTGCAAGGTTCTTGCCTAAACTACAAAATTTTGTTGCATGTTTGTCGTTGACTGTTATTGTTGACTACAAAAATCAAATTTTCAGCTTCAGTGAAATTTTCAGCTAGTTCCTAGTGAATCTTGTTTGTTTTATCCTGATTTAGCTGCTAGATTCGAGTTTCAACTAGGCCGATGAGTGAAGAGCCGATGAGTCATCAGTGGCCACTGATGACTACGTTTGCACCGATATGATTTGCTCTCATGTGTATTTCACTGAACTCTTCCTTCGGCTGC